CAGCCGCTCCCAGCGAGAACAGGACTCGGCCACAAAGGCTCAGCAGACATTTTCGGAAAGCAGGGTGAAATGGTCTCTTCCAGGAAAAAGATTAAACTCCTTGCAGGCTCTTCAATAAGTCACACCATTTTAGTGAGAAAGTCTATTTACTGTAGATTCAGCCTTGAGGGCCCAGCATCCCTAGGCTGTGTGGAAAGCTTGAGTCAGTGCTTGGGTGCCTGGCTGGTTGGGAGTCTGAGGGGTGCCCCCATGCTGCTCTCGGGGTCACCGCAGAGGTCAGATGTTGGGCAGCCCAGCTTCTCACCTGGAAGAGGTGGGCCCTTCCCATCCTCACCCTGGCTGCCTCCCCCATGCTCCCTGTGGTGGTTGAGCTGGGCTAGCCTAACAGGGTGGGAAGGAACCCTGCTTGGAGGGGTGAGCCCTGGTTCTTTCTTCCCCTGGGACCCTTGGGGCTACTGGGAAGGGTAGCGCTTGACTCCCCCACCTTTGCTTAGGAGATGTGGCTCTTCCATCATAGCTTTTTGTTGCTTCAATACCAAAGAACTGGTTTCCTGTCAGGTGCAATACTGTGCCTCAGAGCAGTGCCACCCACCCCACCTGGCTGCCAGGGCCTGTCCTCCACTGTCCTATGCTTTCCTGGCCACAGGTCAAGGGCTGAGGAATGGAGAGGAGGAGCTAGGGGCAGAATGCAAGCGCAGTCATCCGGGCTGCTAAGCGTGGCTAGGCACAGCCCAGCATGATCCAGTCTGGGAGAGCTCTTCCCTCCCAGGCAGCCGCACTGCCCCTCACAGGCCAAATTTTTCTGGGGCTGTTTCTGAGAATTCTGTTGGGTTTCTACTCCTAGGCCAAGGTGTGTGGCCTGCTGGGAGTGCCTTGCTGCTGGAGCCTTCTCTCCTGCAAAGCTGATGTGGCCTGGCCACCAAGGACATGGGAAGGCCCCACATTTGGTTTTCTGCTGTCCACAGAGACCCCAGCCAGCCCCCAGCAAATCCCTTGGAGCAGCTGCCTCTGACTCGGGGTCAACCAGGGTGAATTCTGCTGTGCTTTGGGGCTGCCTACCCCCATGCTTTGCCCACATGGACAGAAGGATGGCTATGACTCTGCATCTTCGTGTCTTTGGAAGTCAGATACCCTCTTGTGTCGTGTGTCTGGGTCCAAGGTGATGATGTTGGGTGCATAGGTGGGGCAGGCTTGCCCTGTCCATCTGTGTTTGGGTGTGTGAGAGACTGACTCAGCGGAGGGACAGGCCCCAGCATGTCTTGGGGTGGGGAGGGTGGAGCCCTTGTTCTTTATGGGCGCAGCCAGGCTGGGATGCCGGGGGCCTGGAGGCAGCAGATCTCTGCAGGTAAATGTACCTGTGTGGTTGGGGGCCACATGGAGAAAGGAAACCCAGGGCTGGTTGAGCTCCTGCAGCCCCACCTTGGTGGTCCCGGGGCATTCAGCCCTGTGGGAGTTCAGGACAGGAGGGGCTGGCGTAAGGGCAAGGGCAGTGCCCACACAAGGCCCTTCAAGGTGCGAGTCTGCAAATGTGGCCTAGGGTCCTCAGCAGGGCGTTTACCCTGTGACCATGACGTACAGCAGCTGAGCCTCATGGCCTGGGGGAGCCAGGCACCTGGGAGGACTGCAGCATGTCCTTGGCCACCAGGGACTGGAGCACAGGCTTCCACATGTGACAGGGCTGCCACACACATGGCTGTCTCCAGGACCGTGTCATCTCTGCATCCCTACCTGCTTCTTTGTCATCTGTGAGGATGGGGGTGTGGGGGGTCCAGACACGGCAGATGTGGGGGGCAGAGCCTAAGCTAGGCCCCACCTTTCTCCCGGGCTTGTCTCACCCCCACCCCCTGGTGAGCACCACATCTCTCAATTTGCCCAGAGTGAGACATTTACAAAAGTAATAAAAATAAGCTGGGCACAGTGGCTCACGCCTGTAATCCCAGCATTTTGGGAAGCTGAGGCGGGTGGATCACAAGGTCAGGAGTTAGAGACCAGCCTGACCAATATGGTGAAACCCCCATCTCTACTAAAAATACAAAAGTTACCTGGGAGTGGTGGTGCACGCCTGTAGTCACAGCTACTTGGGAGGCTGAGGTAGGAGAACTGCTTGAACCCAGTAGGCAGAGATTGCAGTGAGTTGAGATTGCACCACTGCACTACAGCCTGGGTGACAGTGCGAGACTCCATCTCAAAAATTATTTAAATTTTTATTATTATTTTTTGAGACACAGTCTCACTCTGTCACCCAGGCTGGAGTGCTGTGATGTAATCTCGGCTCACTGCAACCTCCGCCTCCCGGGTTCAGGCGATTCCCCTGCCTGAGCCTCCAAAGTAGCTGGGACTACAGGCGTGCACCACCACACCTAGCTAAGTTTTTTTTGTATTTTCAGTAGAGATGGGGGTTTCACCTTGTTGGTCAGTCTGGTCTCTTAACTCCTGACCTCGTGATCCACCCACCTCGGCCTCTCAAAATGCTGGGATACAGGCGTGAGCCGCCACACCCGGCCAAAAATAAGTTTTTAAAGAGCAGAGCAAGAAGTGTTTTTATCATTGTTGGAAATGACTTACGTGTCACTTTTGTGGTCTGCGTTCTCTTTGGATATTTTCTGTATGTAACAACTGTAGTTTAAAAAAATATTCCAAACCATGTTCTGTCTGTGTTTCCTTACCAGAAGACAGACCCACAGCTGGGCCTTCTGGGCTCTGCTGGCCTCCCTGCTGCCCCCAGCCTGTGGCAATCTACTTTGGGCCTGCAGCCCTGCTCAGCACTGCCTGATGTGTGTATCTTGTCTGGTCAGTGGGGGAAACAGGCATAGGAGAAATTGGGTTGTCAGCTGGGTGCCGTGGCTCATGTCTGTAATCCCAGCACTTTGGCAGGCCCAGGCGGGTGGATCACCAGAGGTCAGGAGTTTGAGACCAGCCTGGCCAATGTGACAAAAACCCCAGCTCTACTAAAAATACAATAATTGGCCAGGCATGGTGGTTTACCCCTATAATCCCAGCACTTCGGGAGGTCCAGGCGGGTGGAACACCAGAAGTCAGGAGTTTGAGACCGACCTGGCCAACATAGTAAAACCCCGACTCTACTAGAAATACAAAAATTAGTTGGGTGTGGTGGCAGGCATCTGTAATCCCAGCTATTTGGGAGGCTGAGGCAGGGAGAAGCACTTGAACCCAGGAGGCAGAGGTTGTAGCGAGCCAAGATCGCTCCATTGCTCTCCAGCCTGAGCCACAGAGTGAGACTCCATCTCCCAAAAAAAATACAAAAATTATCTGGGGGTGGTGGCAGTCACCTATAATCCCAGTTACTCAGGAGGCTGAGGCAGGAGAATTGCTTGAAACTGGGAGGAGATTGCAGTGAGCCAAGATCACACCATTGCACTCCAGCCTGGGTGGCAAGAACAAAATTCCATCTCAAAAAAAAAGAGAGGAGAGAAATTGGGTTGTCTCTGAAGGGGAATTGGGCTTCCAGGAGCTGGACTATTCTGTGGACCCAGGGGCTCGAGGGACTACTTAATCATTGTCCTGGTAGCTCAGGGGGCCCCTTTGGTTTCCAAGCCACCCTGTTTTCAGCAACTCACCTGAGTCCTCAGCTTCTGAATCTCACTCCCCACTCCCTCCCTCGTGCCTCACTGTGCCCTTCACACACTCCCCCAGCTTGCCCTCCAAGTAGTTGCCTTGGCTCAGAGCCATGCTTTGGATGGGCGAGTGCAGACCTCCACATCCTGTCCTCACACCCAGGCCCGACTGGATTTCCTGCCTCCTGCAGCTTGTGATGGCATAGGTCTGCAGGCTTGACCTGGTCCCACCCCTGCAGCCTTCGAGGCAGTGAGACCCAGATCTGCCCAGTCTCAAGGCTATGACAGCACCCTGCTGTCAGCCTGAGCAGGCCCGGCAGCCTTTCCTGGATCTAGGGACTTGTCACTGCTCCATGCCACTCACTCTTCAACAGACCTCTCTGGCTGAGTTTTGCCCAATGACTTGTTATAATTACGGTGGAAATTAACCCACCGTATCTTTCGCTCTTACTGAGGCTCCCCAGTTGGACTCTGTGCACCTAGCCTCCTCCGGGGCCTTTGGGAAACCAGCCATGGCACCAGAGTGCAGTGCTGGCTATGCTGTGTAGCCAGGAGTCAGAGACCCAAGGCATGGTAGGCATTTGGGCCTCAAGGTGATGGGGGACAGCACGGGTATTCTAGAGGCCTGCGTGTCCCATGTCACAGGATTCTAGACATAATTTTGCAATTGTTTTCTTCCTTTCTTCTTTCTCTCTGTCTCTCTGGCCGGGTATGGCTTACACCTGTAGGGTGGATCACAAGGTCAAGAGTTTGAAACCAGCCTGGCCAGCATGGTGAAACCCCCTTTTGTATTTTTACAAAAATTAGTCAGGCGTAGTGGCATGCACCAGTAGTACCAGCTAGTGGTGAGGCTGATGTAGGAGAATCGCGTGGTGAGCCGAGACCGCACGACTGCACTCCAGCCAGGGAGACAGAGCAAGGCTCTGTCTTAAAAAAAAAAAAAAAAAATGTTATTCAGATTTTCATGCTGGTAACAAGGAAAAAAAAAAAATGGGTCTCGCTGTGTTGCCCAGGCTGGTCTCGAACTGCTAGGCTCAAGCAATCCTCCCGATTGGGCCTCGCAAAGCGCTGGGATTACAGCGTGGTCCACTGTGCCCGGCCTACGTTTGCAGCTTAAGCACAGGTTAACTGAACCTTCCGAGAATGCAGCTGGCACGCACGTTGCTGAAACTCTACTTTGTTCACTTTGGAAAGCACACTCCCCTTCCAAAATGGTCCTTGGGGGCTGAATCCCCAAATGTGACCCAGCTGCGTTCTACTGAGGAGCGCGCCTGACGCGTTAATACGTCCCCACAGCCAAATGTTCATGAATTTATCGTCAGTCTCTCTGGACCCTACGTTCTTTTTTTACAGTTGCGACTGCGAGCAGGCTGTGTGTGTGCGTTTCAGGAGGAAATAGGGGCGGCAGCACAGCTCGTCCGTCAAGAGAGGCGCGGGTGGCGCGGGGGCTGCAGCCCAGGAGACCCAATCCCGGGAGCGCTGCGACCCCGGCCTCCGCGTCCCCGCCGCCTGAGAGGAAGAACGGGGTCCCCAGCAGGCACTTCCCAGGCAGGGCAGAGGGCTCCACGCGCGTGGGCAACCCGGCGCACAAGGGGAGCCCTGTGGCAGACCCCCTACCTTCTCCACTCCCTCAGACCCGACCCTTCGTCGCCGCGTCCCCGCCCCTGCTCCGACCGCACTACAACTCCCAGAATGCCGCGGGCGAGCGGACGGCACTTCCCAGAATGCCGTCGAGGGGCGAGGCCGCGGCGCAGAGCGGGAAGTCTGGATCCCGCGGCGACCCTGAGCATGAGCCTGGAGCGCGAGCTTCGCCGTGAGTCTCTCGGGGTCCCTTTGCGCCGGGGGCGAGGAGGCTGGGGAGGGTCTGGGACTCGTGCCGGCTCCGGGCCCCACCGCGGAGGCTCAGCTCCCCCACCCCCGTTCTCCCGCAGAACTGAGCAAGGCCAAGGCCAAGGTGCAGAGGGCCGGGCATCTGCGCGAGGAGGCCGCGCTGTGCCACCAGTTGGGGGAGCTCCTGGCCGGCCATGGTGAGCGCCGGGGCCAGGAGGCGGGAGGGAGGAGGCAGGGCCGGGGCCGGGGCTGGAGTCGGGTCCGAGCCGGGCCGGACCGGGGGCGACTTGCTCTTCCCGCAGACGCCGCCCCAGGGCTGCCCTTGCGCCCGCGACGCTTGCCAGACCGTGCTGTGCCCCTCCCCCCCGCCTCCCCCGCCTAGGCCGCTACGCCGAGGCTCTGCAGCAGCACTGGCAGGAGCTGCAGCTCCGGGAGAGCGTCGGCGACCGGTTGGGCTGTGCCGTGGCCCACCGCAAGATCGGAGAGCGCCTGGCTGAAATGGAGGACTACCCGGCTGCCTTGCAGGTGCGGGCGCCCTCACTGGCCTCACCCAGCCCGGTTGGCCTCTGCTTGGAGCCCTTTTCCGAGGAGGGAGGCCCGATCTTCGCTGTCAGGAGCCTCAGGCTGAAGGGGACACCTGGCCTAATGCGGCCTTGCCTTTACTACCCCGGGCCAGTCCTCCAGTGGGGACCCTTCAGCCTTTCCTGGGACCGGGGTAGGAGTAGGTTTCCTGGGACCGGGGTAGGAGTAGGTTTCCTGGCACCAGAAACCATTAACGAATGTTATTTTGGCTGTTTGTGTGTGGGGTGGTCAGGCCCGGTCCTGAAAGCTCTCCCTGACGCTGGCTGGCTGCTGAAGGCAGGACTGCAATTCCCAGCCACCCCTCCCAACGTGACAGTGTTGGCTGCATACAGCATGAAGCCACTGTCACCACTGAGAGCCCTTGGCATGCAGAGGAGGGGCGCGTGCCTGACCTTGGCCTGCTCTGTGGGGCTTACAGGGAGCAGGGGTTTTTCCTTAGCGAGACTGGATCTCCGGGAATCTGGCAGTGCCGATTTGCTTGGGGTGGGGTCAGCTCACAGCAGTGATTTCCTTCCACACTCAGCACCAGCACCGCTACCTGGAGCTGGCACGTTCCCTGGGCAACCACACGGAGCTACAGAGGGCCTGGGCCACGATTGGCCGCACCCACCTGGACATCTATGACCACTGTCAGTCGAGGGATGCTTTGCTGCAGGCACAGGCTGCCTTTGAGAAGAGCTTGGCTATTGTGGATGAGGAGCTGGAGGGTAGGCAGGCCCCTCCCCGTTTTCTGCCTCCTGAACTGCAGGCCAGCACCCCTGAAGTCTCCTTGGGTGATCCTGTCTTCTGGGATCTTCCCTTTGCAGGGCTCTTGTATGAGAGGCACATGGCCCCCACAGCCTTTCCCCTGAAGGTCATCGGCTCTTTATCCCCTCTGTGCTCTGTCTGCAGCAGGACCCCTGCATCCTCCTCGGGAGGAGGGAGATGGTAGAAGAGGTGCTGCACAAGCCCCAAATGGGGCCCAAAGCTGGAAACCCAATGTGGAGAGGTGGTGGCTTAGTTTTTGGGGGGATCTTTCAGGGACACTGGCCCAGGGAGAGCTGAACGAGATGAGGGCCCGCCTTTACCTCAACCTGGGCCTCACATTTGAGAGCCTGCAGCAGACAGCCCTGTGCAACGACTATTTCAGGAAGAGCATCTTCCTCTCGGAGTAAGGCCCCACCCCGCCCCAAAAGGGAGCGGAGTCCCTTGTTCCTGGAGAAAGTAGTTAGGAGAGTGTCTTTCCTAAGATCCCTCTGAGAGGGCAGGCTGGCTGGGCCTCATCCCCCACTGCTGTTGGTTTCCCACCAGCAGAGAGGCCTCTCATGCCTGTGCTGCATGCTGGGGGAAGGGCAGGCATGATTAGGGCCCTGAGAATGTAGCATGGCAGGGCTGGGGCCCATGTGGCGTTGGTTGGACGCTCCTGGGTACTCAGCGGCCATCACCCGCCCACAGGCAGAACCATCTCTACGAGGACCTGTTTCGTGCCCGCTACAACCTGGGCACTGTCCACTGGCGCGCAGGCCAGCACTCCCAGGCCATGCGCTGCCTGGAGGGTGCCCGGGAGTGTGCGCGCACCATGAAGAAGCGGTTCATGGAGAGCGAGTGCTGCATGGCCATCGCGCAGGTACCTGCTCTGCACGGCACCAAGCTTGGGCTTCTGGTGACTCAGACCTTGGGGAATCTGCAAAAATCTCTCTGTTCTTTGCTTTCCAGGTCCTCCAAGACCTGGGAGACTTTTTGGCTGCCAAGCGAGCCCTGAAGAAGGCCTACAGGCTGGGCTCCCAGAAGCCTGTGCAGAGGGCAACCATCTGTCAGAACCTCCAGCACGGTAAGTCTGGGGGCCGGAGTGGGGCCTTGGGAGGCATATGCAGGGATGAGCCTGGGGGCCAGGGTGAAGTCCCAGGAGGTGTGTACAGGCCTCCCTCCCTCATGGAGGTTGCCTGAACACCTGTCCTTGGAGGCAGCAGCTTCAGCTTCTAGCAAGAGGGGCAGGTGCCCCCACTTCCTGACGGGGGAGACCCCTGTTTTTCCTCTGAGCTCAACACAGTGTGTCAGGGGCACTGAAAGGGCAGCCAGGAGACTAGCTGGGTATTTATTTTGCGGCCACCGTCTTCATTCGCAAACTGGAGACTGTAGTTGTTCCTGTAGTCTCCCAGGTGGGAGAGCAGGTGGCACGAATGTGGTCCAGGAGTGCTGATGACTGAGACCACCGTGGGAGGTTGGTAGTGGTCAGCCTTTGCTTTGAACCAGGCACCATCTGAGTTTTTAAGTGTGTCCTTCTGATCTCTGAGACCAGTCCCTGAGACAGACCCTGCTCTTACCCCAACACCAACAGGCAAGCAGAGGTGTGGAGAAAGTAGTGGGGCCACCACAGGGCTCATGGCACACAGGTGGTGGAGCTGACAGCAGGGCCCCCTGTGTGCCCCCTGGGCTCCCCGCTGCATGAACCTTTTCCCGGCAGTGTTGGCAGTAGTCCGGCTGCAGCAGCAGCTGGAGGAGGCCGAGGGCAATGACCCTCAGGGTGCCATGGCCATCTGTGAGCAGCTAGGGGACCTCTTCTCCAAGGCAGGCGACTTTCCCAGGGCAGCTGAGGCTTACCAGAAGCAGGTGTGTGGTCCCCACTGGGTTGGGGGAAGGGCTGGTGAGGTTGACAGGGCCTGGCCAGGATGGCAGCCCCAGGCCTCACTGATGCTGCCCCCAGCTGCATTTTGCTGAGCTGTTGGACAGGCCAGGGGCAGAGCGGGCCATCATCCATGTGTCCTTGGCCACCACGCTGGGAGACATGAAGGACCACCTTGGGGCCGTGCGCCACTATGAGGAAGAGCTGAGGCTGCGCAGCGGCAACGTGCTGGAGGTGAAACCCCTGCTCCCTGCCCGAATGCAAGTTCACCCATGTCTCTGCCTCAGGACTGCCATTCTCAAGGGTAGCCATGGACAGCCATCCTTCCTAGACAGGCAGCTCCTTCCTAGGACCATCCACCCTCGGCAGCTGGGAGACAGGGCTCTCACTCCATGTGGGCAGCTGGGGAAGCCTGGCTGGGGCCAGGTGGACATGGTGGCTGCCAAGCCTCAGATCTCATCTCCTCCTGCTCCAGGAGGCCAAGACCTGGCTGAACATCGCACTGTCCCGAGAGGAGGCTGGTGATGCTTATGAGCTGCTGGCCCCGTGCTTCCAGAAGGCACTCAGTTGTGCCCAGCAGGCCCAGCGGCCCCAGCTGCAGGTACAAGAGCATGTCCCACCCATGTCGGCTCCCCAGTGAGCCCAACTTCCTTGCAGCCTGCCTTCCCCCCGTCCTACATCCCTATCTTTCTTTGCACCCCCAGTCCTGAGCTGAGCATCTCTCTGCTCCTCAGAGGCAGGTCTTGCAGCACCTCCATACTGTGCAGCTGAGGATGCAGCCCCAGGAGGCCCCTGGCACTGAAATCAGATTACAGGAGCTCATTGTAGCTGAAGACGAGGAGGAGGAGGAAGAGGAGGCGGCGGTGGCCACAGTGGACAGTGGAGCCCTGGAAGCCAGTGAGGTGGAGCTCTCAGAGAGCGGTGAGGCCTGGCGGCACCTGGCATTTCTCTGAGTCTGTCCTGGGCTGGGCTGGAGAGGGGTGTGCTGTGCTGCTGTGGAGCCTGCTCAGGGCTTGTGGCGGGAACAGCCAGAGGGAGGCAGGACGGCCAGTGCTTCCCTGGAACTGAGTGGAGAAGGTGGTGAGCTGCAGGGAGCCTGGGGCAGGCCATGGCTTCCCAGAAGAGACAGTGGTTGAGAGCTGAGTGTGTGTCAGTTGGAGACATGGTCCCATTAGAGGTGGAGGTGCCATCCAGGGCCAGGGTTGAGACGGTGCGTCTTGAAGAGCCTTGCTGCCCCCGCAAGAGCTGAGCACCTTCCTGAAACCCTCCAGAGCAGGCTTGGGTGTCCTCCAGAGCCGAGTGAGGTCGGCTGCATGGAGGACGGACATGAGGGACTGGCTGGAGAGGGGCTTGGACTGAAGCCATCTTGGCTGTGGTGCAGGGAGGGAGGGCCGAGAGTCGGGTCAGTGGGTGGCTGAGGGGCTGGTTTCTGACTGAGTGGTAAGTGTCAGAAGCCTGTCCGTGAGGCCTGTTTGGGGGGTGTTCCAGGGAAGGCTGTGACTTCAGCTCTATACTTGAGGGGTCCTTTAGAAACCCAAGTGGCCGGCCAGGCAGCTGTGGGAAGTTGGAACTTCACCAGATTGGTTGCTGGGGCAAGGTGGATCAGGATCTGGAATTTTGGGGAGTGCTGTTCGGCACGTGGGCACAGTGAGGAGCTGGGGAAGGGCCAGGAGGCAGCTGGCAGGGTGCGAAGGGCGTGGTGACGAGGGATCACCAGGAGCAGGGATGGAGGTGGGTATGTCTGCTGCCTAAGCAGGGTGGGGGCTGCGAATGCAGGGCACCCAGACTCCAGGGCTGACCTGGCCTGATGACACTGCTCAGGAGATGGGGGTGGAGAAGGCCTGGGATGGTGGGAGGCTGGCCCGGGAGCCAGTCACAGCATGGGGATGAGCAGCTGGCTCACGGATGGATGGGGCCTCAGGCAGGCCTTCTGAGGGAGGGCCAGGCCTAGGTTGGGCCAGAAAGCTTAGGGGTGTGTCTTAAGTGGGCAGAAGATGGCAGGCAGGAGCAAGCAGGGTCAGGTAGACCCAGAGGCAGCGCCGGGACCGCTGCCAAGGAGCCCCAAGAGCCCAGCAGCCTCAGAGCTCAGCCTGCCACCTCTGGCTCCTACCTGGGAGTTCGGGGAGCTTGCAGCAGGGTAGGGGCTTCTAACCTTTGCCTCCCACAGACTCATCTGGAGTGGGTTTGGCTCTGTTTCAGAGGACGACACTGATGGCCTGACCCAGCAGCTGGAGGAGGACGAGGAGCTACAGGGCCGCCTGGGCCAGCGGAAGGGGAGCAAGGTGAGGATGGTGCCCTGCCCCCACCCACCCTGCTCAGCAGCCCTGCCAGCCCCTCACTCCCCTGTCCTGTGCTGGGTTGGCTGTGCCCACAGTGGAACCGGCGAAACGACATGGGGGAGACCCTGCTGCACCGAGCCTGCATTGAGGGCCAGCTGCGCCGCGTCCAGGACCTCGTGAGGCAGGTGGGCCCTGCTCTAGGACTTGGGACAGGCTGCCCGGCACAGAGGAGCTGTGTGTTTGGGCAGGGTCCCTTGATCTCTGTAACTCTCAGCTTCCTTATCTTTAGAATGGGACCCCTTAATCAAGCATGGTGGCACTTGCCTGTGGTCCCAGAGGTGGGAGGATCATTTGATCCTGGGAGGTTGAGCCTTAATGAGTCATGATTACACCAGTGCACTAGCCTGGGCAAAAGAGTGAGACCCTGTCTCAAAAAAAATGAAAAAGCAGAGGCTGAGCATGGTGGTGTACACCTGTAATCCCAGCACTTCGGGGTGCCAAGACACACAAATCGCTTGAGCCTAGGACTTCAAGACCAGCCTGGGCAACATGGCAAGACCCTGTCACTACAAGAAATTTAAAAATTAACTGGATGTGTTGGCATGTACCTGCCATCTACTTTGGTGTTTGAGGTGAGAGGATTGCTTGAGCCTAGGAGGTTGAGGCTGCAGTGAGCTGTGACTGTGCTACTGCAGTCCAGCCTGGGTGACAGACCAAGACCCTGTATCAGAAAAAAAGCCACAGGCCAGGCGTGGTGGCTCATGCCTGTAATCCCAGAACTTTGGGAGGCCGAGGCAGGTGGATCACCTGAGGTTGAAATGGAGACCAGTCTGGCCAACATGGTGAAACCCCGTCTCTACTAAAAAAAGAAAATTAGCCAGGTGTGGTGGCACGCACCTGTGGTCCCAGGTACTTGGGAGGCTGAGGCAGGAGAATCTCTTTTCTTTTTTTTTTTTTTTAGACGGAGTTTCGCTGTTGTTACCCAGACTGGAGTGCAATGGCACGATCTGGGCTCACCGCAACCTCTGCCTCCTGGGTTCAAGCAGTTCTCCTGCCTCAGCCTCCCCAGTAGCTGGGACTACAGACACGCATCACCATGCCCAGCTAATTTTTGTATTTTTAGTAGAGACGGGGTTTTCACCTTGTTGACCAGGATGGTCTCGATCTCTTGACCTCGTGATCCACCTGCCTCAGCCTCCCAAAGTGCTGGGATTATAAGCGTGATCCACTGCGCCCGGCCAGGAGAATCTCTTGAACCCAGGAGGTGGAGGTTGCAGTGAGCCGATATTGCACCAGTGCACTCCAGCCTGGGTGACAGAGCAAGACTCCATCTAAGAAAAGAAAGAAGAGCCACAAAATAATGGCGTGCAGCTGGGCACGGTGGTGGCTCAGCACTTTGGGAGCCCGAGGCAGGTGGATCACCTGAGGTCGGGAGTTCGAGACCAGCCTGACCAACATGGAGAAACCCCAACTCTACTAAAAAAAAAAAAAAAAATTAGCTGGGCATGGTGGCACATGCCTGTAATCCCAGCTACTTGGGAAGCTGAGGCAGGAGGCTCGCTTGAACTCAGGGGCTGGAGGTTGCAGTGAGCCCAGAGCACACCATTGCACTCCAGCCTGGGCAACAAGAGCAAAACTCCGTCTAAAACAAAAACGAGGAGTGCCTGGAGTATGGTACGTATCTGTGCTGCAGCTAAGTTGGTTGGCTTGGCCAGGATGGAGACTAGCCCGTAGGCTGAGACCTGGGCACCTTCCTGTGCTGCCTGCCTCATACCCTGTGACTGGGTGGGCTGTCCTCCCACAAGGGGACCAGGCAGGCACAGAGGCTGAGGGTATGCTGTGGCTGGTCCACCTGTCTCGAGAAGCGTGCCCTTCTGGAGGAGGAGAGTGCAGAGCCATGGGACTTGGTCTGGGCTCTAAGACTAAGGCCTTGGGCCCCATTCAGGCCACAAAGCTCGTGGGGCTGGGGCCAGGTTGTGAGGGGCACAGGGCCAGACTCCTTCCTGTCCTTGGTCACAGGGCCACCCCCTGAACCCTCGTGACTACTGTGGCTGGACACCTCTACATGAGGCCTGCAACTACGGGCATCTAGGTGAGCGAGGGACAGAAGGAGCCTGGTGCACCTCGGTGGATGCGTGGGGCGAAGAGTCAGTCCTGGTGGGGCATCGGGAGCTGGACTCACGTCTCCTGATCTGCAGAAATCGTCCGCTTCCTGCTGGACCACGGGGCCACAGTGGACGACCCAGGTGGCCAGGGCTGCGAAGGCATCACCCCCCTGCACGATGCCCTCAACTGTGGCCACTTTGAGGTGGCTGAGCTGCTTCTTGAACGGGGGGCATCTGTCACCCTC